AGTTACATTGATTTGTCTATTGTCCTTTGTTTCAATGGAGACGCTTGCTAACAGAATGGTGTCGATTGCAGGTCTTTTTATTTTACACTAGATGTTGCCCGCGACTTTGCCCATGTAAAAAAATATAGCCTATGTTACTCACAGATAAATTACCTTTCTAATGGTAAAAGATTTTTAAAAATCGGCCCAGTAGTTATTGAGTTATTTCAATACATACAAAAGTACAAAAATACAAAACTTTCCTCTTTATAATAGTAGTAAAGATATAGATAACTCTGTAATATAAGAGTATAGTATTATTATATTTAATTGTAAGTTGAATTTTGTAATACAAACATCGCTACGCAAAATTAAAAGTTTTAATATCTATAAATTTTCTTACAAAAGATCGACATAACTAAAAAAAGCTAATGTAACCTCTGGGGACTCGGCAATGCCCGCGCAAATGTAAGCATCTTGTTTATTAGTTAGGTTCTAAAATTACCTTGTACATACTTATCTTACTGGCATTATAAATGCGTAAGTTTAGGTATATGTATGGATGTTTTGTTAACGAATTTCACTGAAATTTAGTATAGATGTACTTATATAGTCTAGAACACGTAGGCTAATTACCTTAGCTAGTAAATAAATATCATATTTTTAATATTTGCGATGAATAATACTCAAACGTAACATAATGCTGGAAAGGAACTAAATGGCGTCTGTAATACTCAACAAACTTTAGCCATTCTCAGTTGTAGACGAGTATAATGGGTCAACATTAAAAACGTTCCTTCTCGTCCATTTTCACAACGTATATAAATCACGCGAAGTAAACTTTTTGAAGGCTTAAGCGATGCTCCCCAGTGTCGCCCTCTAGTCGCGAACAAAACTTTTTAACAAATGTTTACAACGTTTTGCTTTTTAACCTTTTAAATACCTTAATGTTCTGTTATGTTGAATGATATTTATTGTTGTTTACAACTTGGAGTTGTTTGTTGCAACATTTATAACAGATATTAAAACTAAACAAAGTTAATACTTTCGTACCATAAAGTAAGTTCTTCATATTTTTCCTAAGAAACACCGAATATTATAATAGTATATACCCTGAACGTTTTAAGCATTAAATTGCTTTAAAAATCGATTACATATTTATCACAAAGTTTCATTAAAGTGCAAAGTCCATTAAACAATAAATGTTCATTAAAAAAATATTTTAACGTGGAATAAAAAATAACGCCTAGTTATAAATCGCTATTAGAGTGTATTGATTCACTAGAGAGGGCAGGTTACGAAGGAAGCTCCCTCTTAATTACACAGCAGTTTATTTATTGCTACTTTTTATGCCCCCGTTTCTCGTTAACTAAAGCAATCTACGAAGACTAATTATCGACATTTCAGAAAGAATCTAAGCTACCTTTAAGAAATAAAGCGATGCTTACATTAAGCTGCACTTTAATTTATAATTAAAAAGACTAAAAAATTATAACAAAATACAAGTGAACATTATATTATGAGTATTAAAAATCTAACCATTACAACTATTAAGTTATACTGTCAGAATGGCTGGAATCATTAATATAAGTGATTAACTTTACTTAATATAAAGTCTTTGTTCAATTTATTAAAAAGATAAGACTTACGTATAGTTAAATCGGCACAGATCATCATTGCTGGTGGGATCTGGAGCAGGTACTGCCGCCCAATGCACCGCGCGACCGCCGCTGGTGACCGCTGCTAGGAGGCGCTGGCGGCAACCGCACGAAGACCACACGCTAGCACTCGCCACGCCTCCTGCCTGTGAGAGTGACAAATGGACTAGTCATTATCTATACGTTTTAGGCTAATAAAACTTCAACTTCTATTTATATAAGACACAGAGCATCTCTGCGTGGACATGATACATGAGTGGACAACGAAAAACTACAAACCATTTTTTATTTCATAACGTGACTTTGTGTTGCAATCTTCATTCAATATTCTATGATCGCTACATATATTAGTATAATACCTGCAATGGCGTTGGTAAATTTTCAACCAGCAAATAGCATTTCGATGTTGAATTCCAACGTCGAATTCTCTCCCTGGCGAGGACGTAGTGCGTTTCTATTTCTTTCCCTTCAACGGCAACTAACTCCGCCTGTAACAAATGATCCTATGCTTAATTATGTCAACGTATAACAAGATTTATCCATTACCATAGGGATTTTTAGACCGTACAGACAGCTCTAGATTTATTAATTATTTATTTTATAGATACGATCGATATCAAGGCGACTGCAACTCTCTTTTCTTTCAATTCATCTACAAAATACAATAGTCGAATATTTTTGTAAAGAGGGACTTCTTTTGAAGTTCTATATTATGACATATATATGAAACATGTGCAAGTGTCAAGTCACAGTCAGAAAATCATATGCAAATTCAATACAAGTTGCAAAAGTGTTGCATCTTATTTATAAATTCCTGGAACAGCGTCTTGCGAGTATTTCATACTGTACTACATTCTCATCGTGACATATTTGTACAATACTTTAAAGAATTTTTCAATTGTATATCAGACGAATACAGATATTCCGTCCGCCGGTAACTCCATATAAAATATGGGTTCAGTTGTGGCGGTTATGCATTTCGTATGCCAAAAAATCGCTTGCCAAGAACTTGTAAATGCTCCGTATATTTTTATTCAACTGCATAAATGTGCGGAAAAGATTTGGTATTCCTGTTGCAACTTTAAGTTTGTATTTATTGTCGCGAGGATTTTTTAATTTATTGTTCACGGAAAATAAAATTTGAATACAACGATCGACGTTACGGTACATGATTTTTAAAATACCAGTAATAGAATCAAATGTATCGTAAAAAAAGATATACTAAAATTGATGGGTAAAAACTCAAAAACTACTAAACCGATTTTGTAACTTCATTGTCATTAGATTACTCAATATCACTGAATGACCATTACTTTACTAATTACTAGTATTATAAATGTTTTGATGCATAGATGGATGTTTGTTAGAGTTGTTAGCATAAACGGCTGAATGAATTTCAATGGAATATAGTGTAGATGACCTCATAGGCTACTCAATTTTTTTTCTAATTCCACGAGGACGGAGTCTCGGGCAAAAACTTTTTTTTAGGTTATTTATTACTTAAATTGTTAATTCCGCACAGACTATGTGCGGTCATAAGCCAATATCATGTCAATAAAAAATGCTACAGCTTTTGTATTCTTAAACAAAAAAATCAGGAAGTGAAAACCCAAAACCGATCATCTTATAATAGAGAAGTATAAAGGTGTATTGGAGTTATTAAACCTTTTTTCCTTAGCTGTATCATAAATATTAAATCGCAACCCTCTAGTCGCGTGCTTCTGACTGATACGGCGTTTTATTACATTTTATTTTTATGTTTATTGAATTCTTGGCCCGGAAGAAGTTTACGGGTAATGTGATACGTATTTCTCGTATTCTAAGACTTCTTTTCTAGAAATAGAAAGAAATAGAAATAATTTTATTGAAAAATAAGAGATTTACAATTACAATAACAGTTATACCAATTAAAAGAAAAATACAAAATGTGTTTAATATATGATTAATCTGGTTATGATCTAGACTAGAC